TCGCATACGCCAAAAATCACAAAAAACAAACATTCAAAGATCAAGTAATGAGACAAAACTTTTGGACGGTTATAAAACAAAAAATCACGATTTAACGGTTATTTTAACTCCGATTTTGATGATTTTTTTACAACTACACTCCTTGACCCTATACGAATACAATGAATGAATTTGATCGTCAATTTAAAATATTTACCCAAGTGGATACCACAAAATCTTATGTTATACTTAATGAAAATATAAATAAACTCTAAGTGTTAGTGAATCTATCGTTTTGATGGGATACGAATTCTATGAAACTAATTTTAACAATCCAACCGTCAAACTTGTTTTTTATTAGGCTCTTATTTTCAAGTGTAGATGGAGTACTTAAATGACAAATATGTTTTAATGTTTTGAAGTAATATTTATGTGGTAATGTGTGATATGTGCAAATTTAAGAAAAAAATATATTTTTCTTAACGGGTCATAATGGGTCGGGTCACTTTACCCGTTGGGTAAAGTGACCCGATCTGTTAAGGACCCGTTAAGATAACAGGTGTGACACGACACGACCCGTTAAGATAACAGGTGTTACACGAAAATGACACGAACATGACAGACACGACCCGTTTGCCAGGTTGTTGACTTTTGTTGACTGTCATTTTGTGACGCGTACGAGCTACTATTTTACTGTATTCGTGTAGTACTCGTTACTACAAACGTGTGGGCACAAGCAGAATCGAAATCGGAGTTACAGTCAAAATTTTACTGAACTACAAACATGAGGGTACTTTAGTAATTTTGCATTTTAGAATTTTGGTCCTTGATTATTTTAATAATTTAAGGTTGATATTTTTAATTTTTTTAATAATTTTCTAGCCCTTCGGGCCCATACCCACACCAAAGTCTCCCTCCTCTCTTGCCATGTGTCCTTCTCCCCCTTCATTAAGGAGTCTCTCGCACTCTCTCTGTATCTCTCACTCTAACTCTCTCATCCCTTCGCAACCACCGGTGCCGAGGCTAGCGTCCACCAACTCCTCATTTTCTCCGACGATCTCCACCAAACCAACACTTGGATCCTCTATTTCTCCTTCTTGTTAGTCCCTCTCTTTCACACTCTCTGCTCATGGTTAGGAAGCCGAGCTTCATCTGAAATCTGAGAGGATTCCAGCAAGACTCTAACGAATCTGACCAAGGAAAGGGTCTGAACCACTTGTTTTGCTTTCCCCGTATCATTTTAACGATCGTTGGCTTCTTATACGCGTGTTTTAGCGACAATTTGGTGTAGAAATTAACTCGGGAAGTCTCCCCAGTTTTTCTAGCTCTGACGCCGCAAGTTGCTGGCCTTTTTCAGACCAATCTCGACCACAACTCAACTTGATTTTGGTATAAAATAATTCTCCTCTCTTTAAGCTTCAAATCCACGAATAATTTGTGGTTGTATTTTGAGCTTGAATCGAGCTCTGGGATTGTTGTCCAGATTTCGGTCGACCCACAACCTGAAAACGGGTCAACCTAACCCATGAACCAAAACTGGATCCATGAGCCGACCTAAACCCGTGACCCGTTAACCCTAATCTAGATCCGACCCGGATCTATTTTAGAATTTGAAAGGAGTTAACTTCTGGTTAATTTTAACAGAATATTTCGTCTGAGGTTGGAATATTTCGTTAAAGTTAATTGTTGATCGTTACTTGACTTTTTTGAAATTTTCTCGGAAACCCTCATAAGCTAATTTTGATGCCCTAAGTACATTTTTGGTATCTATTTAGTGCAATTTTAAAATTTTAATGTAGTTGACCGGCTCGGCGGCTCAGTTGGTTGACTGTTCACTTTTTACAAAATTTTCTTGGGACCCTTCTTAGCATATTTCAACACCCCAATTTTAAATCCGCACTCCATTTTCCCAAATTTAATCATTTTAGTTGATTTTTACTAATGGATCCCAATATTATGCTTAGGTGCGATTACTATCAGAGACTCCGGCTTCCTTAGTCTGAATGGTTGCGACCTCACAAGTATTTGTGAGTGAGTCTTTTCTTATAATATATATATATATATATATATATATATATATATTCAGTTTCTATAAATATTAATAATCCATTTTCTATGGGATGCCATAATTAAATTAACATTTATAAGAAATGTCGTATTGTTAGGAAATTATGAAATAATCTTACGGGATGCACATGTAAGCGTACAATAATGGAGAATTAGACTTACGGCTATAATAGTATTATGTTGACTAGAATTATCAAATTAATATGGCATGACCGTATTCACGTTATCTATTCATCGTGTGCTATACTGGTGTTTGTACTCATCGAGGCCAGGGCCAGTCTTCATGTGTATGTTCACATCGCACCATACGTTCACTTTGGATCCATTGTAGGTGTCAGTCCTGTCCTAGATTGCTATAGGCAATCATGACTCGTATGTGATGTGCATAACGTCAGTCTTCACGTGATTGTAGTACTAGAGCGTAAATTATTTCTTTACACCCAGTCTTGTTCATGTCATAATACTTCTATATGAACTCGTGTGTTAGCATATGTCGATGAGTACTTGATATGACATTCGTTTATGCGAGATATTGTGGTTGCTAAATGTTATGGTTTATTTACGAAATATGGTGAAGTATTTCATTTTCGAGATATTACTGTTTACAGTACATATTTTCATACTATACGTAGTATGCTATGTTTGAAAACTATACTTGTTTTATGGCGAGGGGTTATTACGTTTTCGAAACGGTTTTTACAAAGCTTTATTTTTAGGCCCACTCACCCTTATTTTTCGCCCCTCCAGGTTTTAGTGGCATAGCTTTTGTGTCGACGAGGATTCTTGGCAAATGTTGCTTTAGGAGATTACCTTCGATGGTATAATTCTTATTCTACCTTTGCTGTACTTTACTTATGCTCTAACATTACGTGTGAATGAGGTTCAATCCTGCTTACACGCGCACTCTTGCATTTAGTCACTTTTAGGTTTAAATTTGTTCATATTTTTTTCACATCACTACACTTATGGCTTCGTCACCTTACGGGTATCAGCCATCATAACTTGATTCAGAGTCCAGATAGACATTCTGGGTTGGGGTGTGACAATCGGGCTTGGAGGGTGGCTAGAAGTAGCCAGCCCGTTAGCATTTTGGCGAACTTTTGGCCTAGCAGGTTCCACGCATTTTTAGACCAGCCCTCCATTGGAGATGGGTTTGTTTACCAAAACGGGCTATTGTTTTTGCATATAGCCTTTTAGCCGTCTCCATTAGAGATGGCCTTATATAGCCAAATATAAGACATCTCACCTATAAGCAAAGAAGAATAATAATATTGAAGAAGGGAAGTCAGGCTCCACAAAATGAAATCTTGTAAGTAGATACCAAATTCGTTGTTTAGAATCGAATTTGTGACATTCTATCCACAAGTAGAGGTGGCATATCAAACCATTAGGTTGTTAATGGATACTCATTAAGATCCATTTAGTTTGATTTTACCTTACACCATCATCACTAACAATCTCACTTCCATATTATGGTGATATCAAATTAATGAATATTAACGAGTACTCATTAACAACCTAATAGGTTGATTTGCCACCTTTACCCACAAACAAAGAGGAATACTTAAGTACCATTTATATTGTTGTAATAATGGTTTTTTTTCTTTGAGCTAACTACGTTTTACACCATTAGGTTTTGAGTGATTTTTAAAATATGTCCCCATGTGTCAATTTCTCATATCACACCTTTGAAGTTTTGAAATTGTATAAATTTATTATGTTTTCTTCTAGTTTGGCTATTTGGTCCTTCATTCAATTGATGATTTGAAAAACGTAGGACTCATTTCTGAGTTGACGTGAAAGTAACACTTTCCCCAAATGGACCAAAATTAGTCATCATGGAGATTCAACTTCCCTCAATGATTCATTTCTAGTCCAAAATAATAACTAATCACAACGTTTGGTCCTAATGGTGCAGCTTCTATTCAACCTAGAAAGAATCTCAGATTTGCCAAAATCAACAATATATTAAAATAGGCTTTTTAGCCAAAATGGTTCATGAAATTTCCGTAACTTCTCACTTTGGTCATTGAGATTTGAAATTAATACAAGTGGTCTCTGAGATTGTCTACCATCAATCATTTTTGTCCTTTCGTGAATAGTTATGTTAAATAAATATTAAAATGACAAAACCACCTCAATTTAATAAACAATAGGCCAAAATGATTTGATAAAAATTAAGGGTATTTTTGTCATTTTATCCTTATTTAATGGAGATTTTTCACGGAATGACCAAAATGATTGATGGTGGACAAACTTTGGAACCAATTCTATCGATTTCAAATCTCATGGATCAAAATGAGGATTTATGCATTTTTCAGGGACCATTTTGGATACAAAGCCAGTAAGTATCATACGACCAAATAGTTGGAAGGCATAAATGATATAATTTCTAAAACTTGTGGTGCATTATGAGAAAATTGAAACTCCATGACCTATTTTAAAAATTACCCAAAATGTGGAGGGTATAAAATGTAGTTCACACCTTTTCCTTCTCGTTTTGATAAAATGGAAGCATATTATGCCACTTTATATTGCGCATAGTGGCAAATCTCTCCACTTATGAGTATGAGGTCTTGGGTTCTAATCCCATAGATTACGAGTTTGAGACTAATTTATTATTTCACCTAAAGTCAGGCAGGAAATTTATAGCTAGCTTAGTTAAAAATATTTACTCTTGCACCTAAAGTCTAATGTTCGTTTTCTACCTCTCCTGCTATTATTTGTTTAAAAATTAATTATAAAAAAGAATACAAAGGGGTTAAAAATGTGAACAAAATATAGCTATTTTTCAAAATTTCCCTTTCTATAATGTGTTATGCAAATCGTAATATGTGAACTTTACTTGGCTTCTTACAATTTTTCTTTACATTTCATTATTTTATTGTTCAACCGGTATTATCGAAACAATGTATTCCCCTTTCCGTCATAATGTTTCATTGTTATCATTATAATTGATGGTTCATCATGAATATATTAATTGTTATCATAATCTTTAATTGTTTTAACACATATGGATGGCTAATACAACTTTTTTTTTGAACGAAAAAAAAAAAAATTTAACAACGTAGGTTCTCGCCTGCAAGGATTATTGATTTGGCAAAATTCTTAATAACATCCATCAAAGGGAGTAATGGTATATCTAATATACGCAATTACGTTACGCTACGAGACATTCCCTTCGAAAAATTGGTACAACGGCTGCTTACTGTGTTTTCCTCATCGCAAACTGATTGCTGGTTTCAGGTATATGTGTAACTTCCTCTAATGGGGGCAAAGGGACTTCACCAAAAACCTGAACTCCCATCTGCGCCATCACCATACGTGCACAAGGATCCGGTGGCAACGCCCCCCCTATAACGCAACGCTCTATAGATTTACAACTATTCCCTACACCTCAGAGTTCAACTTCTTGAAGGCCGTCTCCAAAACTGCCACCACTACTTGGAAACTGCATCGGTGGTTGCGCACCGCTGTGTATGCGTGATGGTGGAGAAATACCGAGCGATTGTCCTAGAGGCTTTATTTCATTCCTCATAGAAGGATTGCTAGCATGGTTAAGGCTTCCACTCCACGATGCTACGCGGCGGGATTCATGGGGCTCATAGCTATTACCATTTCCCATATCCCCGGCTCTCTTTTGTACAATGTTATCCATGCTGGGAAACCGCTGCATAGTCATTGAAGACAATGTTGACGTTTGCGAAGTGGAAAATGCACTCTCAAATGATTTTGGGGGATTGTTGTTGGTCACCGTAGGTTCATGTGTGCTTTCTCCCGGTGTTTGAACTGTCTCTTCATAGGAAGTTACTGGAGCAGGGACGAAAATATTGGGTTTGGGACCACCCCCAGGTTTAGCATATGGAAGAGATGGTGACTGAAATAGGTTTGCTGGCGTCCCGCCGCCCTTGTTGAATGTATCAACATACCTAAGGAAATTTGAACACAACTTAGATTAAGTGACTGGTTGCTCTTTTTAAAAAACTTCTTAAAAATAAATACATAGAAGAGCAATGGGGAAAGACAGAAAGAGAATCCAGGAGTCTACCTTGAGCGAACGCCCGTACGTCCACGTGCAGAGAACTGGTTGGAACTGGGTGGAATGGGTGCTATTCCAGAACTCAGTTCAGGGGACACCAGGCTTGGGATTTGTGGCCCATTAACTGCAGGGAAACTTTTGGTTTCCAGTGCATCATTTACATTGTAATCTTGCATTCTATTCGGAAAGGCTGCAGTCGGTGGTGGAGGTGGCAAAACTGCTTCCTTGGCTGGAGGTTCAACACCTTCTTCAACCCATTGCTTAAGTTTCTCATCATAGTAAAATTTATTCTTTTCACCCAATTTAGCCTTCAGAACAACAAAAAACAGGACAACTTGTGAGGTTAAACTGAGAATATATCTCCAAGAAAATCCCATCATTCAAACATAGTAAAAGGAATGTTTAAGTACCTGTCGAGATCTTTTCACAAACCCCAGAGTCTTCTGAAATATGCCAAAACCAAAACGAGATGACCTGGTAGATGTTGATGCATTTTCTTGCGGTTTAGAAGATTCCACTTTCTTGGATGAATCAACCTGATTGAACACAAAATAATGGCTGTAAAATTTATTTCCACCAGTACAACACAGTTCAACTATGGAAATCAAGTCTTTGTTGTTAGTATTGAGGTGAAATGTTACCAAATTGGGAAAATTGGAACTTGCTACACATGAACTATAACAAATATGAACAATTTGCACGATCTATTTGCACGATCTACAAGTTATTGCTTTGATGTGAATTTTACAGTGAACATTTTCAAAATATGGAATACATTATAACAGTGGTTTACTTTATTCCCATCCTTTAACACTTCTCCAATACTGTAACACACACACTGTACACTGAAGTTCAGTGGATTATTCATTTTCCTTTTTGCTTGCACATCCAAACCTCCCATTTACTTGTGAATTCTTGACAAACTCAAGGGATTTATATAATTAGAAACAAGGTCTAATAAAATAAGAGTAGTGCCGGTAAAAATAAACATGTACCTTACTTGGGCTTCTCCCAAAGTCTGGTTCTGATATGCTTCTATTGGGCACATCCAGTTGATTGTTCTCGGCAGTCCATTCGCTTATTGGCTCCATTGATGCTGAAGGCATTAAGGGAGACATAGCCATTGTTGATTGACTATTGGGTACACTTGGTTCTGGTATAAACGAAGACACGGCCATTGTTGATTGACTATTAAGTACACTTGGCCCTGGTACGGCCATTGTTGATTGACTGTTGGGCACACTAGGTCCTGGCGTAAACGAAGACACAACCATTGTTGATTGACTATTGGGTAGACTTGGGCCTGGCATAAACGAAGGCATAGCCATTGTTGATTGATTATTGGATAGACTTGGGCCTCCTGGTTGTTGAGCATGCTCATTACGTTGGGCAATGACTTGTGATGTTGAGGGTGCAGGTGGAGGCAGGCCTCCAACAACACGATGAGCAGTATTATCAAATAATGTAAGCAATTTACCCATCAGTTTGGTCGGAGTTGAATTTGTACTGTAACCACCCTGTACAAAATGTTTTATGTAAGAAAAAAAAAAAAAAAAAAAAAAAAAAAAAGAAAAAAAAAGAGGAAAAAAACTGGATTTTGGAGAAAAACCTGCTGATGGGCTCTTATCCGCTCCTCTAGCAATGACACTAACTGTCTCCATGTGTCCAGTTCGGGTGCTCGACCATATTTCAAAGACTTTAAAATTGCTTGACAGTATCTGACCAAACATATTGTATAATAAGCTAGAGGCAAATAATTTTTTTTTTTAAAAGCGACAACTTTCAAATTTCTCTCTTAAGAATAAAAGGGGTCTCGATGAACAACAGTTATACTTACTTCAAAGCATCTGCAACTTTTCCAACTTCTGCCAACATGTGGGCATAAACAAGCTTATACGGCTGAAAAGGTAGTAGGAGAAACTGAGAATTTCCAAGAACCCTTGAGTATTCGTATAATTCTGTCCTCTGTCAATATAAAATTTGGCTTAGTTAAAATCGGCTAAAGTAGTAAAACAAAAATTAATAATAATAAAAATAATAAAAGCAACAATAAAAATAACAGCAGCAACGACAAAAACAATAATAATAATAACAACAATGACGAAATACAGTTAAAACACTTTCTTCTTTCAACGGTGATACATGCTCCATATACAATTTAAAGGGCAAAAATTTTAGGGGGTCCAGAAATCAGTAGAATATAAACTCATTACATGTCAATCATAAGTGCAAGAAATTCCTGCATATGACAATTGGTTTCTGCGTCATTAAGTCTAAAAAGCTCCTAATTTAATTCAAAGTTCAATACAAAAACATATAACAAAAAAATAAAATAAATAAATATAATGCGGATCACCTGGATAGCCTCAGGACTGGCGTATGTTCGTGGATATTTCAAGTGATCTGCACCAATAAGACACAGTCTAGCACTGTCTGAATATGCCTCAAAATTGGCTTCTGCAACCAAATAACATATGTGTGCAGGAGTGTTCTGCAGAATGCTTTCAGTCAGGACAAAACCAAATAATATAACAAGTTTTGTACGTATAAAAATAAGAAGGAACTCAATCCAAGAAACACACAACATATACCTGTCCCCTTTCTTTCCATAGGCAATCTCCAAGATGGATGATAACAAGCTCATCATCTTTTGTTCTGTTAGCAGTTAAGATGGCTAAATTCTCTTCCCATTCATCCAACATGGAATTGGCTCCAATCTGTGGTAAGGAATAGTCAAAATTTAGGCAAAAGCACACAAGGAACTTCAATGCATGACTATTCGACACAAAGGCAAGGCTTTCACTTCAGTTTCCTATTCAGTTGCATAACAAAAAAAAAAAAAAAAAAAAAAAAAGACTTTAAACGAAGATAGAAAACACACAGGTCAGTGTCATTTTGTCTGCACCAAATAACCGTAAATCACCTGTGTGTGCTGTTGTGAATCTTGTGATACATTCATAGAATTATGTAGGCTGCTATCTGTAGTGGCATTGGAAAACACGTCTGCAGGCTGCCTAGCAATTAATAAGCACAAAGTCCGCAATGGTGATCCTGCTGCTAACTGGTTTAGCGCCATAAGCTTCACAGTATCGCCATAAAACTGCATGCAACATTGAAACAAAACCATAAAAAAACAAATTCTAAATTAGATAGGACAAGCTTTCTTAGTATGTTTTTATTATAAAAAAAGGATCGCCCAATATAAATAAAACAGAGAGATGATTTGATTGCAAAAACCTGTTCACCAAGCTGCGATGCAATGACAAGTGCTGGACCCCACAATTGACCATTCTGTGCACATTGTAAAGCCTCTTTCTTCCTACCAGAGACAAGAAGATTTTGTACCTCAAGAGCAGTCGCCTAAAGAAAAAACATATATTCATTATGGAAGGCACAGAAAATTTATGTGTCAGAGAGAGAGAGAGAGAGAGAGAGAGAGAGAGAGAGAGAGAGAGAGAAAGAGAGAGAGTTAAGAGAATGGCATACTTGACTTTGTGCTTCAGAAGGCAAGTTCTGTAACATAAGAGCACCATACTCATTGCTTCTCTTAGCAGAGGCAAAAAGCTTGGCAACGGCAGACTCCGGACTATCAGATTCCTAATTATATTGTTACAGAAGTGGTTAATAATCATATCACACGAGAACTGTTGAACCCTCTTGAACAAATAAAAAAAGTTCTTCATTTTCAATCTTCAAAAGAATCATTGAATTGCAGAGGATTTAGGGTTGAAATAGATACAGTTTGTTCTACAGAAAACTCACACCCCAAAAGAAAAAGCAAAATAAATCGTAAATCACCAATTTCACTAATGTTAGGATGGAGTGGGTAATACAGCAAGATAACAACCTAATATACAACCAAGCCGTCAGTATACACGCAAGCCATCTCTTTGGTTTTTCTTTTCCAACGGTAGAGAGCTTTTTGGTTTTATCAACAGCCACAATACTCCAACAAAATGAAGAATGATTTTCTTATAATTTAGTCCCTACATTTAGGGATTATACTATAAGGACCTCTCATTGCAGACAATATTCCTTTATGACCCAAATAAAGGTCGTACCCAGTGCACAAGGCTCCCGCTTTATGCAGGGTCTGGGAGAGGTGAATGTCGGCTAGCCTTACCCCCATTTATGGAGAGGCTGCTCCCAAAATGAGTCCTCAATGACCCAAATATTCCATTAAAATCCCTAAATGAGTCCTCAAAGTTGGTGGTGGAGTCCCTAAACAGGGACTCCCATTGGAGATGCTCTTGTACTCTCCTATGATTATTTAACTGTAATTGGCATACTATTAATGTTGTCGCATGAAACTTAAGTGACAATTATCACTAAATACAACACTTCTAATGAGAAAATCCATCAATTGAGCATGCCCCATCAAGGAAGATGTATAACCAGCATAATTAATATCGTAGAATAAAAACTAGAAATTCACAAATTTGCCAAATTTCAAGTATTTATGACTCAAATTGAGAATGATAATCACGCGATTAAAATGTGATGAATCATCCAAACAGGTCATAAATTAACAGTCATTTACGAACCACAAATTAAAGTACCTTCAATGCTACATCAGTGCCAAAGGGAGATCGAAGTTTTCCATAATATTGGCATCCTATTTTTAGTAAAGAGAAAAGCAACCTCGAATGGTCCCTTTTTCTGATATCCATATAAGGAGTTACACAGTTTGCAATCTTGTCGTCTATCCATTTATTTACTTCGCTACTTCCAACACTCCCCCCAACCAAAGGGCCAGGGTACGACTGTTGGCACAATGCATGGAAATAAGCACAACCATCATTTCCAAAGCTTGCAATATCAGTTTTGTCCACGACAACAACTTCCATCAGATTGAGAACATTAATCGAACTTCCTACAGAGTCCTTCAAATAACAAATAGAAAACAAAACGAAATTAAAGCCTATGCCAACACCAGACATTTGAGTAGAAACATGTATGTATATAAAGCAGGTATGTGTCACAGGAATTTGAAATCAGAAGGTAAGGCTTCACCTGGCTTCCATATATGTTGCTATTATCTTTCATGGTTATAAGTTTCCCACCAAATCCAAATGTAACTAGAGCATGTGGAGGACGTCCTGCAGATGACCATCCCACACTTGCCTCATGAGAAAACTGAGCTCCCCTTTCAATTGGTTGCTGTAAAAATTGTACTGGCTTGTGACTATCAAAGTTGGCAGGTGAGAAGCGTGTCACTTGGTTTGGCTCCTTAGCTTGATGATGATGATGAGATAAGTTTCCAGCAGGATTAAAGCTTTCAAACCCTCGAACCCCACTACTTAAATTGTAGCCATGACTTGCCGGTTGATTAAGAGCAACGGATCCAGAAGGATTGAACCCTATTTGTTGATTCACAGAATTGGTTACATGCCCGGTTGAGAAATACTGGGTTGCGTACTGCTGTGTCTCAGTAACACTAATAGTGTCACTTGCGGAAACTTTCTGATTATCCCACATGCTCACATTTTGCTGATTGTAGGTTCTCATAGAGCCATCCAAGTTTGAAACATCTGAACCATGATTCTCCACGTTTAAATTGTGATATTGCTGATTATACTCCACACTTGTTGACTGGTCAAAAGCTGGAGTGGAAGACTCCAACTGCTTCCATTGTTGGGTTATTGTGTCATAGTACCACCCAGGGTATTGTGGATCAAAAACCATATGTGCAGGGTAGACTGTGCTCCCGTTAGAATGTTGGTTCCAGCCAGAAACAGCGCTAGTTTCAGAACCCAGAGCCACATTTTGAGAAACAGACTGCGCTTGTTGCTGTAAATAATAAACATCTGCTTTCTGGTCTGAAAAAAGATTGTCTGCAGTTTGAGAATTCACATTTACACTTTCCTGAACATTTGCATTAATGTTCAAATCTGCACTTGTATTTGCATTCACATCATAACCCTCCAATTGATACCATTGCCCAGTATTTGGATCATACCTCCATCCCGGATAAAGGTTATCCCAATTCTGGCTACTATTTAACTCCTCCTGCCCATCTGTACTTTGTTCCTCAACAGCCCCGTAGTGTTGACCTCCTTGTTGCTGCCCATAACTAGAAACACTAGCAACTGAGCTCTCCAAGGCACCATCAGTGACATTAGAAGTGGCCCAGGATTGGTCTGTATTACCCAAATTTGCAAATGGGTCTCCGGAGAAATCTTGAAAGTCACCAGAAGGATCGAAATCTGAGTTAAACGAAGTCCATTGAACTTCTTTCACACCTGATCCCACTGATGCCAAGCTCGTATTCAAGTCCTGCCCATCTAAATTTTGTCCCTCAACAACCCCATAGCGCTGACCTTCTTGGTGCTGCCCATAACTAGAAACACCTAAATCAGGAACTGAGTTCTCCAAAGCACTATCAGTGACATTAGACTCGGCCCACGATTTGTCTGTATCACCCAAATTTGCAAATGGGTCCCCTGAGATATCTCCAAATTCACCAGAAGGATTCAAATCCGAGTTAAACAAACTCCATTGAGCTACTTGCACTCCTGATCCCACTGATGCCAAACTTGTATTCAAGTGCTGCCCACCTAAATTTTGTCCCTCAACAACCCCATAGCGCTGACCTTCTTGGTGCTGCCCATAACTAGAAACACCTAAATCAGGAACTGAGTTCTCCAAAGCACTATCAGTGACATTAGACTCGGCCCACGATTTGTCTATATCACCCAAATTTGCAAATGGGTCCCCTGAGACATCTCCAAATTCACAAGAAGGATTCAAATCCGAGTTAAACGAACTCCATTGAGCTACTTTCATTCCTGATCCCACTGATGCCAAACTTGTATTCACCGTCCCATTCACTGAACCTTCCTTCCCTTTATCTTCCAATGCCTTAGCCTCATTTGTATTACTTGCTTTATCCTCCAATGCACTAGCCTCATTTATATTATCAGCCATATCATCCCATGCACCAGCCGCATTTCTAATATCGACTCTATCATCCAATAGACTAACCCCATTTCTATTATCGGCTATATCATCCGATGTACTGGCCTCATTTCTAGAATCAGGTTTCATCGACTCACCTTCTTTAACAACTGCAGGGACCTGACTGACACCTAACTGTTCCACCACAGCCCCATCTTCATGACCCAATTCACCGTTAACCCCAAGACTAGCATTGCCGCCCGTGTCTACTACTCCCACGGGACCTACTTCTGAAATACTCAATTTCGAAAAAGCTTTGTCATCAACAAACTCTTTCTTCTCTACCGGTTTATGCACAGATTCAGTAAAGTCAATGTCATCATTAACCAATCTGTCAAAGAAATCCTCGTCTGTATCCTCCACCTCAAATGGAGAACTCGCCATCTAAACCACACCCTAAAACCCTCCAAATCAACCTCACTCTATCCAATCAAAAACCCACTTCCCCAAATTTTCTTCAGCCGACAAAATTCAGTAAAATTGAAGAACCACAGCATTCAGCCACTGAAAAACTTCAAAATTCTGAAATTTACTACCATTTACCATCTGAAACAAAATTAATAACGACCAATAAAATCAACAAAAACAAAATCAGAGTTCTAGCAATCCAATTGAAATCTGAAATTGACTTTTCTCTGGTGTGTAGGATTGAATAGTTGGAAATTAACAAAAAAAATAAAAAAGCGATTCAGAGAGGACTGAATTAATATTTAATAACACTAAAATTCTGGGTTTAATGAGTAATTAACTTACAGGTTAAACCCTAATGATTTATAGGGAGGGAGAGGATCGGGGTCTCCATTGAGACAAATCATGGATCTTGCAGCAGACTCAAAGCATGAAGGCAGCGCACCCACCAAAGATGTTCGAATGTTTTTACGAGTGTGTCAAAGTTTGGCCTGGTATATAAAATCTTGACCACAAGAGAAACAATTGCCATATATATATATATGGCCACGTGCCAATCGTCACAAGAGTTCTTAGATACACTGCTCTGTGAACTACGAGTTTAACACCTATTTAGAACGCAATGTGTCACTTGTTTTAACAAGGTAAAATGTCATTGTATATGAAATACGCTGTATTTTGTTTGTGTGGGATAAGTTGTTTATTTATTTTGAAGTCGTGCCAGCTTTTGACCGCAAACTAGATAAAATATCATCAAATTTAATGATGAGGAATTAATTAGCTGATTTCAAATAGTTCAAAAAGTTAATTTTCAAAAAAATTATTCAACAAGTCGATTTAAAATATAATAACAATTTACGAAGTCGAGTGGTAATTTACCCTTTAAAAAAATTGGGAAGTACCCAATAGGATTTGATTTGACTTTTACGTATTCCTTCTATTGGTTTTTTTGGTTAGAGTGTGATATCCACATACTCTATTTTACTTCTCATACACCTTTTTAATTTTCGGCCGTCGGATCGGATGAATTAAAGAAGATCAACGGACAAAAATTAACAAGGGATGTGTGAGAAGTAATTTGGGGTGTGTGGATAACACACCCCTTTTTGGTTTCTCAAAAGGTGAAAGGTGTGAAAATGGTCTTTTTCTTCCTTTTTGTGGTCAGTGTCTGAATTAGGATATCTATACCAGATTTTTAGACAATGGAAATAAGAAATAATTTGTGCTTTTTTTTTTTATCAAACAATAAATTTGTTGGATTAGATAGATTAGCCACGGATGAGATTTTAATTCATGTTGTCATGCAATGACTCAATACCTTTTTACCACTGTGATAAATGGTCACTTTTGTGTCATTTAAATCTATGAGGAAATGATGAATCTCTTCTTTTGGTACATGTATTATACCATTTTATCAATTTTGTAGATGAATCTTTTTTTGTTAGTTACTTAACACGTTTCGTTGAATTGGTGTTGAAGGAAGCAAACGTGACTTGACTTTTTTCCCTACATTTGTTGTAACCTTGGTTGGATTTGTTTACCCTTTTAATCACTATTTTTACCGTGTTCAACTATTTTAATTTTTAACCACCACGGGGTGGCCGGTGGTTGGGACACAATGGTGGTCAGAAAAAGATTGAAATACTTATGTGAGTCTTCTCTAACTCCCCTAAAGGGTGGACTGCCGTGACAAATCACCAGTTGATCCCCTTTTAATAAAAAAAAATATTTTATTTTTGTTTTAACCTTCATGTGTGTTTTTTAACGTAACTTGACGGAATGTCATGCATTGATCTTCAAAGGAAAAACTCAACACCAAAAAAGCTAGATTAGAAATGAATGAGTTAATTAGCGGATGAGGATTCTTTTCGGATTCTCACATTCTATCCATTCATCGTATATCGTGCTGTCAGCTTTCATTAGATACTGTTTGTGTTCAATTTTTAATAAAAAAATTCAAAATAATTTATGGTCACATGATATACGATGAATGGATAGAATATAAGAATCATTAGGATCTTCACAAAGAGGATCTGGAGATGATACTAATCCTTAAGACCATCTCCAATGGTTGGGCTAAAAGCCAAATTTTTTAGCTTGAAAAATTTAGCTTTTAGCCCAGAAACAGTTTTTCTGCTCCAACCTTTCTGGCCTAAAATTTTAGCCCGGAATTATTAAAGAATAAACTTAGGCTATTTTTTTTCTTAAATTAATTTAAAATAAATAAATATGTAGACTATTGTAAATTAATTTTATGAACATTTTAATCTAAAAATATTTAAATTCCGATAAATATTGAAATATCACTAAATTTTCCACAAATTAATAAACCACATAAACTTAATACAACCGATAATTCATAAACTGCATAATTAATGAACTACATAAACTTAATACAAATGACAATTAATAAACTTAATTAAGAAAACACATAATTCATATACTACTTACATAAACTTAATAATCATATCCATCATCTTCACTTGGTGATGGACTTCGTACAGGACTTGGGATATAAGGTTCAGAAGATTCATCATCTTGAAACATACTCCTTGAGGCAGACTTTCGTAAAATTTCCTTTTGCTTACCACGTAAGAACTTCTTCCTCTCTAGAGTGTATTTGCTGAGGTCTTCCATCATCAAATTAATTTCAAACCTATCTTGCTCCTTATATGAGATTTCCTTCATTTGCAAACGCATTCGGGCCGTTTCTTCTTGGCGAGCGTTATGGGTTTAGTTCAATTTTGCAATTCCGGTAGCAAAGTGTTCACTCATCGGATCTTGGGGCTTTCCTTTTCTCTTTGCTTTCTTTTGCTTATCTCTTCCTGGGGGCCTTGTAAAAAAAGGAGATGGGGTCATTTCATCGACACCTTCATCTCTGGCATTTGTCTGTGCGGCTTCACGTTGAAATAATCTTCTCCATTGTTGGTGCGCATCAGTTTCCCACCTCGAACAATTCTTGAGGACATCCCAAGCATGTTGAAACTTAAAAACTTGATTTTTTTGGTGTTACTCTTGTCTTGTAAATTTCCATTTCTTTTGTCACCCTATGCAAAAAATACATAAAAATAATTAGTTGCAAAATAATATTATGTACATGACAAATAAAATATCAAGAACAAAACTCACAATTTCTGTGGCGCTCCTTCTACTAGCTATGCCAACCACGACTCTCTTCAAGTTTCCCTTCCATAAAGTGCATGCTTTGTTGATAGTCTTCCACTGATCATAAACATCACCACCGTCCCGCCCGCCGCCATTGCAGTTTTCTTGAAACTTTGCAATGATTTTATCCCACAAAACTTTCTTATTTTGATTTATGCCAACTACATCATCTTCGCTAACAGAAACTCATGCCAAGCATAAAGCAACATCTTCCTCATAGGTCCAATTATGACCTCTAATATGCTCTCTTGCCATGTTGAACAATTTGGAAATGGAAAGTAATGATAGAAAGATAAATTGGAAGAATTGTAGGAGGAAATTGAGTTTTGTGTGGATGTTTGAACAAATACATAGGTATTTATAGAGTTTTTAAGTAAATTTTGAGTTAAATAATTTTTTTAATTATTTTAGTCGTTAGATTTAAATTTGGGCTGTTAGATTTTTTTTTTTACTGTTAGATTTGATTATATTCGATTTCAGCCGTTGGATTCAATGTATTTTAAAATAACATATTTTTTAAAAATGAAATTTGAATCTGGACCGTTGGATCAAACAAAGGTCCTTAAATGATGGTTATCTGATGAGGAAAAGAGCCATTGGGCTTAGGGAAGTGACTGACATGGCCCTGACAGTGGGCCCCCACACTGTCGGGACGTGATTGCAAGCAGCCTTCGTGGGGCGTGTCAGCGAGTGAGCTGGCCGAGACTAGCCCAATTTGTTGCGAGTCCACGCGTGTTTGGGGGGAATTTAGGGGCGGGGAATTTTGGGGGGAAATTTGGCAAATAGCCTATTGTTGGAGTTGGTCTAATTAGCTATATGATGAGAATTCAAAAGGCATTTGTTTTATTATCCCAATTAAAGTACAAATGTATATTGATGGAATGATAGGATGCAATGATAATAAGTTAGGTAGAGGACAAGCACTACATCGAATGGGGACACATTAGGACTTGCAGTTGAACTTAAACCCAAATGTGATATGAAATTGGATTCGCTTTGGACCTTAAAGTGATAGGTCAGGAAAATCAATTAATGGAGATCATTGAATTCAATTTGTGCGGCTCAGATTAGTTGATCCTTAAACTCCGAACACTAAGGTTTGGAGCAGATCCAATTCCATGTGATATGCTTTTTTATCTTATTCTTCTTCTTTTCTTTTTTTTTTTGGTCGAAATTCTTCTTGTTTATTAACTTTATTTGGTGAATAGATTTCCGTATACTTCTTTATCTCCTCTTGCATTGATCACATACCTCATGTTCTAAACATTGCAATGTCATACCTCAACTTATGAATTCGTTGCAGTGTTAGATCTCCGTTAAATTTTCAACTTTACTTTTAAGTGATGACGCGGCAGGTGTGGAGTCCACTCTTCATCCAACTGAATTTAAAAATTAATTAAATATTAAAAATTAAGATTTTATAATCCCAAAATACTAAAATTTATTAAAAACCATCCTTGCTCCTCACTTCACTCTCCCTCTTCTCTCGCTCATCTCTCCCTCGTCTACTCCATTGGTTTTGGTCTGAAAAAATAAAAAATTAAGGATTTATTTTTTGGTCAGAAAAATTTAAAATAATTGGAAAAAAAACTCTCCTTGATTTTGCAGCAACGTTCCTAAATTCACAATGATTTGCAAGTTCAATTTGCAGGAACATGTATACATTAGATCTTGTGTGTCCTGAGTTTAACCTTCCCCCGTTTCAGCCATCACCAATCTGTTTTATTTCTCCATTGGTTTCGCCACCGCCCAATTGGGTGTCTCTAGTTTTGATTTCCCGCTAGCTTGTACATGTGCAACTCGAGAATCTTGTGTTCGAGCCTGACGACTGTTGAGCAAAAATTGTACACAATATGTAAACAAATAATTCACTCAACATAATTTCACCCTCGTTCATTCTTCCTAAGAGGATTTTATTAATTTAAATTTGACCCATTCTAGACTATGCATCTATTAATTACAATCCTTCATTAAAAGGAAAAACCCTTTGATTCCAATATGAATAAATTGTAACTTGGGGATTTGGGTGTTTGATTTTTGTGACTGCACCTAGGTCGAGCCCTAGATTACCTACGTATCCTCTTTGAGGGATCAAGTCACTCGTAGTTCTTTATGTATTTGTTAGGGTTTGATGCCTTATGCAATTTCAGCTCATGCAGGTAAATAGTGTTTGATGTCTTGTGCAGTTTTAGCTCGTGTGGGCAAGGACTTTGAGTCATTGAAGCAAAATGTGGCTTCGTGCGATTTGAGACTTGTTACGGCTTTGTGCCACTTGATATTTAATATGGCTTCATTTCATTGGGATTTGTTGCGACTTCGTGCCATTTGTAGCGGCTTTGTG